CAAGTAACTCCTGAAGAAGCAATACTCTCGCGAAACATGTTGAGTAACTACAACCATTGACATGTGATTTATGTCCTTTGATAACTTTACCAGGACACGGTATATCTGTATCAATTTTAACTATTATATGGATTTACGAGTTTTGTAATCTGCATAGAATGCCCCACCCTACATGGGGGTCTTGCATTCTTAGCATAGTAACTTTTTTGCATTGTTATGTAATGGTCTACATTCAAATAAAAAAGTGATTTTAATGTACTTTTGTTGTAGTGCCTTTAAAGTGCACAATTTGACCTTTTTTTTTTTTCCTTTTTGGTTTATTATACTAGTTACGACAGGACGTGGCACATAGGAGCCCATTATATGCCCCCACAGTTGTCAATCTGAGTTGTGTATTTCTTCATGTCTTCCCCCAGACTAGAGCAAGACTTAACTATTCTGCCACTACAACCTTTGCTTTAACAAAAAAGACATTTTCATAGTTATTGAGGACCCAATGGCAGTTGTAATGAGTTTCACCTGCATCCTGCATCTGATCATGTGGCCAGTCAGGGTGATTGGCCAACTATTGAAGCCCACCCTGCTTTCTTTTCCTTTCAACAATATGTGAATTCAAACATGTTTGGGATAAACATAGATCTCTACTCAGACAAAAAAGTTAAAAAGTAAAATAAATAGTATATACAGTATATGTAGTGCCCCTGTGGGAGATAGTTATTTTTTTTATATAGAGAGGAAGGCTGAATAGTAGCCTAGGCATGAGTCAGCCTGGGTGTGAGTCAGCCAGGTCATCTTAGGTCAGGGCTGAAGGCTCTGGAGATCAGCCCCTCCTTGCCCCCATCCACTGCCTTCTAGAAACTTCTTAAGTCTCTAGAGCAGGGGGAGGTATCAGGGAACTAATCTCCAGAGCTTTCAGCCCTGACCTAAGATGACCTGGCTGACTCACACCCAGGCTGACTCATGCCTAGACTGCTGTTCAGCCTTCCTCTCCAAAAGGATCCTGACCAATCCCCAGGAAGGAGGCGTGGCATGGTGTCAGGACAGCCCTTAAATATGACTGAGCATGCTCAGCAGCAGCAGAGTTTGGATGAGCCTGGGAGGGATCCCAGTGGGAAGGGGCCTACCTCCAGACTGAAGGGGAAAGGAGGACCTCTCAACTTCAGCAGTCCCTTGAGAGAGGACCACCTGTGCAGCAGAGAAGCAGCTAGCCAAGCAGAAGGCCTGAAGGCAGCCACCAACCTAAAAAGCTCTCAGAGCACAGAGAGAGAGTGAGTAGTCCTACACCCCCTGGGCTGGATAAGGGGAAAGGGGATAGGGACTAGCCCCTATCTGGGAATGTTAATTTGAAGAGACAGATTCTGGGTCAGTTTGTCCAGGGATTCACCCAGTACAGCTGGATGAGGAGAGGATTCATTTGGGGTCTAGGGTGGTACATCAGGAGAGGCTGGAGAGCTCTCCAGGAAGAAACCTTTTTTGCTGTTTAGAGACGTGTACATACAGTAGTTGCTAAGTAGCTGTCCTCAGTTGCATTTTTTATGAGCATCCCATACACCCTTCAACCTCCAGAATACAAATGAAAGTCTGTGAAAAATACTTATTGCCTGGCTGTGCAGGACTATAGGGGGACCAAAATCTTCAGCAATTTCTAAGGAGGTAGTGATATATATAGTTTTTCAAAAAAGTTTACATACCCTGGCAGAAATCATGAAATTTTGGCACTGATTTTGAAAATATGATTGATCATGACAGAAAACTGTCTTTTATTTAACATGTTACTAAAACCACAAGGGTAAAATCAGTCTGTATATGCAGTAAATCATGCTTGTGATACTCACTGTGGAACCTAAGGGGTCAATCCTTCACATTGTATCAGTAGACTATTTGATCCTGTCTTCTACAATCCATCCTTATTTTACTGTCCCCAATCAATCTGCCATAGTACAGAGCAGCAGTGGCAAGTCTGCACATGTTCTATTTGGTGTGTTTTGCTATTTTTTTTTTCTTGGGAGGGTGCACAGGGCCAATCAATGCTGTCCAGACAGAGAGTCAGTCATGCAGCCTCATAGGACAGTAAGAGGAGAATGAAAACTCCTCCTTCAAGGTATTTAGCAGTTTATATTTACTTAAATAATTGCATTTCCATGTTCTATGTATTGTGGAAGATCGGAAATAGAGAATACAGGGTCATGGGTTTAATAACACTTTAAGGATAGTGATGATATGAAGCCATTTATTATCACATAGTTGTTTGGCTCCTTTTTAAATTAAAATAACAGAAATCACCCAAATGGCCGGGATCAAAAGTTTCCCTCCCCTGGAGTGTTTGACCTTGGTACAGACACACAAGGTGACACACACAGCATAAAATGGCAATTAAAGGTTATTTTCCCACATCTGTGGCTTTTTAAATTGCAATTAGTGTCAGTGTATAAATAGTCGATCAGTTTGTTAGTTCGCACGTGGATGCACTGACCAGGCTAGAAACTGATCCATGGGAAGCAGAAAACTGTCAAAAGACCTACATAACAAGGTAATGGAAGTTTATAAAGATGGAAAAGGATATAAAAAGATATGATTATGCCCATCGGTAGTGTTCAATCACTTATTAAGTATCTCTCTTGATACAAGCCAAGGTCAGGTAGACCAAGAAAGATTGCAGCCACAACTGCCAGAAGAATCATTCAGGATACAAAGAAAAACCCACAGGTGACCTCAGGAAAACAGACTGCTCTGCAAAACAAAAAGCGTGGTTGTTTCAAGGAGCACAATATGATGATACTTGAACAAAAATGTGTTGCATGGTCGAGTTGCCAGTAAGTAGCCTTTACTGCACCAATGCCACAAAAAATCCTGGTGTGGTAACACTTTGGTAGGCCTCACAGCTTCTGGCACACTGTAATCTGGAGTGATAAGACCAAAATAGAGCTTTATGGTCACAACCATAAGCAGTATGTCTGGAGTGGGGTCAGCAGGGTCTATAGAGACAAGAATACCATCCCCACTGTGAAGCATGGCGGTGGCTCACTGATGTTTTGGGGGTGTGTGAGTTCTAAAGGCACGGGGAATCTTGTAAAAATTGATGTCAAGATGAATGCATCATGTTATCAGAAAATACTGGCAGACAATTCGCATTCTTCTGCACGAAAGATCCCTTTTGACTTTCCAGCACAACAATGACCCTAAACACAAAAGCAAGTTGACCCTCCAGTAGTTACAGCAGAAAAAGGTGAAGGTTCTGGAGTGGCCATCAGTCTCCTGACCTTAATATCACCGAGCCACTCTGGGGAAATCTCAAGCATGCGGTTCATGCAAGAGGACCAAAGACTTTGCTTGACCCGGAGACATTTTGCCAACACGAATGGGTACCTATACCACCTGCAAGAATTTGGGGCCTCATAGACAACTATTACAAAACTCTGCACGCGGTCTTTGATGCTAAATGGGGCAATACACAGTATTAAGAACTAAGGGTATGCAGAATTTCATTTGTTTACTTGTTGCCGTGTTTTATTTTATCGTTGTCCTGCTGTAAAGGACAAAGATGAGATGGGGTCTATGATGTAATATAACAGAGTGTCAGGGCAGGAGCGGTGGAATGGGCAGGCAGGCCTAATGGTAAGGTCATGCAGCGACTGACGACAGCCACTACTCACAGACCAGAGTCCCTCAGGGCGCGGAGTCTAAGCCCCAGGCTGCCCTTCACCAGGGCCCCTGATGGTGGGGATGGGCTTGACGCAGCCAGAGACCAGGTCGCGGCCCCCGAGTAACCCCAGCTGCGGTAACAACTGCCGCCAATGGCGTACAGCTGGTGGGAGCCAGATGGAAAACGTATATATATACGTGGTCAGACAGGCCGGGTCGATAACAACGGAGCAAACAGTACAAGACGGTAGACAAGAATACTCAGGTCACGGGCCGGGTTCAGCAACGGGAGGTCAGGTAATGGGATAAAGCAGAGAATAGTCTTGTCCAAGCCGAGTCGGTTACAGGAGAGCAACGAGAACAGAACCAGAGCTTGCTGCAAAGGAACATACAGGACACGAATGCAAAGAGCAACTGCAGACAGCAGGCTTAAATGTGATCAGCCACACCCTTCTGGAGGAGGAGCCGCAGAGGCCTGAAAGCATAAAGGCTCCCACCATGCTTTGCAGGAACTTAAGATGGATGCCAGCACATGGAGCAACACAATCTCTGAGGAAAGGTAGGACCTTGACAGAGAGGACTATCCCCCCACAGTACACAGAACATAGATATGCAATTATTTTAGTAAATATAAACTGCTAAATACCTTTTCTCATCAGCAGTATATAGCAGTCTTGTGACTTCTATCAGTGTCCAGCTGAGCATTGGCTAAAGCTTGTAGGAGGAGTTTTCTTTCTGCCCTAGGAGAATGCAAAACCCCTGACCTCTGTCTGGACAGTGCTGATTGGCCCTGTGCTGATCACATGCACTCTCCCAAAAAAAAACCTCTCTAGCAATACACACCAACCTGGGCATGTGCAGAAGGGCTACAGGTTCAGTCTTATCACCGTGGACATTTGAAAAAGAGGAGGGGCAGGGAAGTCAGGATCAAACAGCCTTTTCACACAATGAGTGAGTGAGTAACAAGCATGCTTTACTGCATATACAGACCGATTTTACTGTTGTGGGTTTAGTAACACTTTAAATTGGGGATTTAGGGGTTGATTTACAAAAGGCAATTAGACTGTGCACTCTGAAAGTACAGTTGCTCTAGAGCTTAGTAAATGAGTAGAAGCTCTGCTGACTTCCATCATCAGTCATGTCCAAACAAAAATGCTGTTATTTTTTTTTTATTTCCATTGCATGTGATTGGGTATTCTTGGCAAAGGGAAGCTTTACCTCATTTACTAAGCTCTGGAGCAACTGCACTTGCAGAGTGCACAGTCTAATCGCCTTTAGTAAGCCAACCCCTTATTCTTTAGAATTCCATTTTTGCATACCCACTGATTTAAATTTTTAGATTTAAATTGTTACTAAACCCAGGACCCCGCATTCACTATATCCAGTCTCCCTGTACCCTGCATTCACTATATCTGGTCTCCCCGGACCCTGCATTCACTATATCTGGTCTCCCAGGACCATGCATTCACTATATCTGGTCTCCCAGGACTCTGCATTCATTATATCTGGTCTCCCTGTACCCTGCATTCACTATATCCGCTCTCTCCCCGGACCCTGCATTCACTATATCTGGTCTCCCCGGACCATGCATTTACTATATCTGGTCTCCCAGGACTCTGCATTCAATATTTAATTCTGCTCTAGGAGGATGCAGGACCACTGACCTCTGTCTGGACAGTGCTGATTGGCCCTGTGCTGATCACATACACTCTCCCAAGAAAAAAAACCCTCTCTAGCAATACACACCAAACTGAGCATTGACAGAGTGACTCTACATGATATGTCTTATCAGGAAATAAGAGGGGGGCACTGGAAGAATGGGAGAATCAGAGAAGACAGGATCAAATAGCATTTTTACACAATGCAGAGGATTAACCCCTTAGGTTCCACAGTGAGTATAACAAGCATGCTTTACTGCATATACAGACTGATTTTACTGTTGTGGGTTTAGTAACCCTTTAGCTGGTGTATGGGACTCTCTCACCCAATGGGGGCCCCACAGGTTCTCTGGCCTCAAATGCAGCATTCCATCCGGGTCACCTGCTGGCAGACTGTCTCGCTGAACAAGGCAGCAAGGTCAGGGGTCAGTGACTCCTCCTTGCTTCTCTTCTCTCTAGCTCTGCGGCCTGGCTTGGTCCAACTCTCCCTCTCTGCTTCTTCTCTCCAGTTCTCTCCCCTCTCACTTCCTGTCCAGTCTCCCGGGCTTCTGTATATATCTGTCACCGCCCACATGCCAGCGCTTCTGGGAAAAGTAGTCCCCTGATACACTGCTCCCCAGCAAAAGTCCTGCGACTCAGCATACAGGATCCATGGGGCTACTCTGCAGAATCTGAGTGCCACAGAATTTGCAGGACACTGCCATCTAGTGTTGATTTTAACATCCCGCAGCTGATATTACAGCAAGGGTGTTATACAAGTAATGGGAAAAGTGACTTGCAAATAGCAGCAAAACACTGCACAGCACAAAGAGAAAAAAGTTAAGAGTTTAATATTTTTTTTGTTTGCAGTTTTCATTAAAGTTGTATGATAGTCCATCAAATTCCAACTCAAGCAATAATACGAGGAGTTCTATTTACTTTCCACTCCAGTGCTTTGTAACTGTATTAATAAACTATAAGAAAATGAAAGGAGTGATGATGTTTTAATATGTAAATATTTCACTTGCATAATTTTGCATGTATAATTGTACACGTCTCTCCAGAAGTGAAACAAATGGAGTATGTTGGCGTTTACAAAGGAATAAAAAAAAAAAAAAAAAAAAAGAGAGATTAAAACTGTTCTCTCCCATCCCTCTATTTCCCCTGTTGGCGTCTGTTTCTGACTTTACAGAATACCTGGCAAATACTTCATTCAGAGGACTGGTTAATTTGCATAGATCAGAGAATTTCAAAGAGCCGACAATATGAAAGCCTCTGTAACACTTTCTGTAGCATCCAGAGCAGTCTAATGAATTTCAGAAAAGACATAGCCTATTACCACTGTAATAATGTATTCCTGAACACTGCTGAATTTACCCGCAGAAATCCAACTACAGACCAAGACCAGACTTGTTTTCATCTCCAGTCAACACGTGTGCAGTAATGTTCTGATTTCCCTTATGCAACTGACTTTTATTCTTAAAGAGATCCCGTTACCAACCTAAAAAAAGCAGGTAATAAAAAATGCTTGTTTTTTTCAATAATTGAATCTTTGCAATTTTCAATTTAATATGTGTTTATTTCCTATGATTGTCAGCTCCATCTAGTGGCCATAATGTGGTATGTTCCTGATTGAGCTATTTCAAGGGAATACCACATTATGGCTACTAGATGGAGCTGACAATCATAGGAAATAAACCTGTTAACCCTTTGAGGACCAAGGGACGTATTTGTCCCATGTTTGTAATTGCGTGTATCATCTGATTAAGAACTTAAAACTCTTTTTTTTTTTTTGTTTGAGTCAAAATATTAGTTCTTATCAACAAACAACAAATGGATCTAGCTTTTTGCCAATTATTTCATGAAATGGCTTAGTTACAGCAACTGAAGTGTACGAACTTTAAAAACAAAAAAATTGATTCTTTTGCGTTCCAAAACCTTACGGTCCTCAAAGGGTTAAGCAAATTACAGTGATTATATGTGATGGCTGTGCAAATGGTTGAGACATAATAGGAGTTCCAAATTACTGAATAAAAAAATGAATATATATTTACAGTATGCAGTGCTACTCCTGTAGGAGCTGCAGGAGTACTGTCCAGGTCTTCCCCAAAAGCTTTGCCCTGCAGCCAGGCACATAGGCTCACTCACACATTTCTTCAATGACCAGTCTAGGGGTGTTTATGTTGTTTTTTATTTTTTTTTTTTTGGAGAACTTGGATAAGGATGGGGAATAAAGTGGGATACTCTAAAAAAAATTTAACTATGTACAGTTGAGGTATTCTTTTAGAGAATTCATTGACAAAGTCCATGCTTGAAGCAAACAGTAGACTTCAGTTTTAAGGCAGCAGTAGTTGTAGAAGTAACTAGAGAGTCCTTTTCGGTAGTTTAAATGCACAAAGCTCTTTGGAACACCAGCTTTAGCTAGACCCACAGCCAGGGGTGTATCTACTACAAGAAATTTGCCTAGGGCGGCATTTTTCAGGGGGGCAGCACCCCCCCTTCCAGGAGAAGGGACGGAAGAAGGGACACATGCGGCATGGGGACCAGGTGGGATCAGAGAGAGGTTGTGGGCTGCTTGCTGGTGCATGGAGAGCCTGACTCTCATTCCTGGGGATGTTTGGAGCTGTGAAGGTGAGTGTCTTTCTCTCGCCGGGGGGGGTGTTAGTGGAAAGCTCTCTCAGGTGGGAGGTGGGCAGGGGTGTTGTTGGTCAATGTCAGGCTCTCTCCTTCGGGGGGCGCCAATTTTTGTGTTGCCTAGGGCAGCACAAAACCTAAATACACTACTGCCCGCAGCTGACTTCCTAGCACCAGAGAGGGTTAAGTAGCACACAGTCTCAAAGACCCTTTAGGATTGTCTGTGCTCACAAGGCCCACAAGCAGATGGACCCCTTCCACAGTGATACAAAATAGGCTCTTTGCCCATTTAGGATAGTGATAGAGTCTTTTGTAACCCCCTGACTCACTTATATTCACCTTTGCCATGATTCCTTGTCACTGTGTTCCTCTGTTGGAGCAGGGGGTGCAAACCTGTGTAAGCTCTATTTGGAAAATGTCTGAGGTTATACTGGGTTGATGATTTCCTCCCATTACTCATGTGACCATGGTTGGACCTGTTAATTGGTCACTCAGGCTTAAGCACTGCATCATGGGAGAAAGCGTAGGAGGTCGCATGCTCACCCATATCCAGAAACAGAGTATTTTCAAGGGTTCCTAAAGAAAACGCACAAATGGACATAAATAAGTAGTGGGTTTGTTCTTTCAAGAGCAAAGTAACAGGGTCTTTTTAAAGGAGTAGGCCATTGGTCTTGTATATACTGGTCTTGAATATATTATGGGGTTGATTTACTAAAAATGCAGAGTGCAAAACTTGGTGCAGCTGTGCATGGTAGCCAATCAGCTTCTAACTTCAGCTTGTTCACTTAAACTTTGACAAAAAACCTGGAAGCTGATTGGCTTCTAAGCACCAGATTTTGCACCCTCCATTTTAAGTAAATCAACCCCAATGTGTCTTTAATTAGTATAGTCTGCTTAGAAAATAACAATTTCCAAAAACTTTTTTCTTTTTTTTAAGCTCCTTTTTTTTAAAAAAAACTCAGGTAAATATAAAAAAAATTGCATTGGAATAGTTTATATTTTCATATTCAGCCAGAGGCTTAGTGCTTTCAACTCCTTTTGAGATATTTTCTAGGCCCTTCTTAGTTCCTCTGTTAAAGAAAGTCTTCTGTTTAAAGGATTCAATAGCTTAAGATGAAAGTTACACAGACTTTGAATAAGTAGAAGTGAATCCACTGACGTCTCCATCTAAGCTTCTCTCTGTAGTGCTCTGTAACTCCTGAATTAAAGGTATTTTGTTAAAAAAAAAACTTAATATATGGGACAGAAAAAAAACAGATGCAAAACCTAAATTGAAAAATGTTAAAGTAAAGTTGGCTTGAAAACATTATTTTTCCCTTGTACAAAATTAATAAAAATCAAAGTTGATGGAAGTGGGGACATATGAAACATATACTGTATGTTAAGATGGTTCAGGGTTAGGTACCACACTTTGCAGAGGTGTCCTGATATGGCAGTAAAGCTTCACATATATATGCATACACTATATGGCGAAAAGTATTGGGCTAGCCCTCCAAATCATGTGATTCAGGTGTTCCAATCACCTCCATGGCCACAGGTGTATAAAATCATCACCTAGGCATGCAGACTGCTTCTACAAACATTTGTGACAGAATGGGTCGTTTCAGGAGCTCAGTGAATTCAAGCTTGGTACTGTGATAGGGTTGTCACCTGTGCAATAAGTCCATCCATGAAATTTACTTGCTACTAAATATTCCACGGTCAACTGTTAGTGGCATTACAACAAAGTGGAAGCAACTGGGAACAACAGCAACTCAGCACCAAGTGGTAGGCCACCTAAAATGACAGAGCGGGGTCAGCGCATGCTGAAGTGCACAGTGAGCAGAAGTCGGCAACTGTCTGCAGAGCCAATAGCTAAATACTAACAAACTTCATGTGTGGCCTTCAGATTAGCACAACAACAGTGTGTAGAGAGCTTCATGGAATGGGTTTCCATGACCGAACAGCTGCATCCAAGCTTTACATCACCAAGTGCAATGCAAAGCATCGGATGCCGTGGTGTAAAGCACAACGCCACTGGACTCTAAAACAGTGGAGACGTGTTCACTGGAATGATGAATCACTCTTCTCTGTCTGGCAATCTGATTAATGTGTCTGGGTTTGGCGGATGCCAGGAGGACG